TATAAGAAATTGAAAATTGAAAAAAAAAGAAAATACTAAACAAAAACAAAAAAAATAAATGCAAAAACACTAATTGTAAAGCTATGGATGCCATTAGACGTGACACGCTAATAGTTTTATTTAACTGAAGTACTGTTGCACTTCCAGAAATGGCCAGGCTACTGTTTAAAGTGTACGATAGTGTTGATAATATATCTTTTTGGTAGATAATTAGTCATGGTGATAGTATTGTTGTTGTGATGATATGAATTGTGATTGGTTTGTTTGTTGGTGGTGTGATTTTATTTTGGTTGTTGTTGCCATAAAAGGTTTTATTTACGTTGATCAAAGTGTAGTGTTTTGGTTGTACAAATTTGTTTGGAAAATTGATAGTATTCGATTGGTTGAGTTTGGAATGTTGATCAATTGACAGGAGTAAACTGATTGCGGTTTTTTGGTATGAAATTTTTTGAGTGAGATTTTTTGGTTTTTGGTGGTGCAGCAAGATATGCTGGATAATAATGAGAAGTAAACATTGAATATATTGCTAGTGCTTCAAGTCAACAATATAAACAATTTTGATATGAAGTCTGGTTTTTTGAGATAAAAGGAAGTCCTTCAAGCAAGAAGTATGGTTATTTAAAAAGATTTGTATATTGAAAAAAAAAGAAAATGGGAAGAACCCCAAGGAAAATTTATAAAGAAGTAACTGCTACAGGCCTTCACTCAGGCAATCCAAAGAAAAAGCAAGGTCCTCAAACTTGCTTTTTTCTGGCCAGAGGTCCCATTCCGATGTATCAGTATACTTCTTTAAATTCCTTGAGGCTCTTGTAGTGAAAAAAGAAGAAGCGTGAAGGACTTTTGGATATTGAAAGGTGAAAAAAATATTTGTTTCTTTAATTTTGAAGAAAAATTACTATAAAAAGAAATTTTTAAGAAAAAAGTTATATACGGGAAAGAGTTTTTTTTAATTGAAATTATTTATAATTTTATAAAACTTTTATAATATATAATAATAATAATAAAATTTTTTTGTTTTATAAAAATCTTTATAATTTATATAATTGCAATCAAATTAAAAGTTTTTTTGTATAAATAAAAGAATAATAGAACATTATTTTATTTGCAATTAATATTTTTTTAAATTTTAACTAGTTTTATAAAAAGTTTTTAAAATATTAATTAAAAAAAAAAATATCAATATAAGATTTTATTTCAGTTATGGAACAATAATATATATAATATAAAAAAAATTCATTTACTTATAAAAAATTTTTTTAACTATATATAAAACTTAAAAAAGTTAAATAAATCTAATAATAAGTATTTAAATAAAAATGATTAATTAAAAAAGATTAATAATATTTTTTAAAGATATTAAAAACAATATATTTGTAAGAATACTTTTTTATTAACAAAAAATTTTATAATCAAATTGTTAAAAAAATATATACAAGTATTATGTTATATTATTAAAAGACATTTGAAAAAGATTAAATATATAAAAAATTCTTTACAAGCTATTTCTATGTTTATTAAAAAGCAAAAATAAAATCAGATACTATGAACAAATAATCTATAAGAACAAATGTTTTTTTAAATAAAACAGTATTTGAACTTTATTGAAATATTGTGAAATATTGATATAAAAATATATAATCAATTTGTTATATATTAAAAAGTCAAATAAAATCTTTGTTTGAAAAAAGTTTTGTAAATTTAAAAACCAATTTATATAAAGTAGCAGCAATATTTATAACTTTGTTTATTATATATTAAGCCAACTTTGAAAAACAAGTATATCAAATTTTAATTTAATGTATTTGAAAAAAAGGAAATATATTTATTCTTGCATGTCTGTGCCAATTCAGCCAATTCAACGCAGTACAATTTGACAATTGTTTTTAATACAATCAATTTATAGTAACACTCAATTTGTGAATAATTACATAATAAATTATTTTTTGCGTAGTAAACTACGTCACGTGACCAATATAACCGTAGTAGTACGAAAAATCTATAAATTTTAAAGTATTTACACGTATCATTATTATTGCTCAATTACAAAACACAAAAAATGTCGGCAAGAGAATATATGAGATTGGAAAAGTTGGGCGAAGGCACCTATGCCACCGTCTACAAGGGAAAGGAACGAAGGTCTGGTGACATTGTTGCCCTTAAGGAGATCCACTTAGATTCGGAAGAGGGTGCACCGTCCACGGCCATTCGTGAAATATCCTTGATGAAAGAACTGAAGCACCAGAATATTGTAAAGCTTAAAGATGTAATTCATACCGAAAATAAGCTTATGCTTGTTTTTGAGTATATGGATCAAGATCTCAAAAAATACATGGATACACACGGAAACCATGGTGCACTGGATCCGATGACTATCAAATGGTTTATGTATCAAATGTTATTAGGAATAGACTTCTGTCATGAAAACAGGGTGCTTCATCGTGATCTGAAACCGCAAAATCTTCTAATTAACAAAGCAGGAAATTTGAAACTTGCCGATTTTGGTCTTGCACGGGCATTTGGAATTCCGGTCACTACTTTTTCAAATGAAGTCGTCACTTTGTGGTATCGTTCTCCGGATGTACTTCTAGGATCTCGTTCATATTCAACTTCAATTGATATTTGGTCAGCAGGTTGCATTATGGCAGAAATGTATACTGGTCGCCCATTATTTCCCGGAACAACAAATGAAGATCAATTAATAAAAATCTTTCGTGTCATGGGTACACCTAATGAAACCACATGGCAGGGAGTAAGTCAATATTCAGACTACCACAAACAATATCCCCACTATACTGCCCAAGATATGAGCAAATTGCTACCTATGATCGACCGTCATGGAATGGATTTGCTTACTCAGATGTTGGTATATGATCCGGAAAAGAGAATAACAGCAAAGAATGCACTGAAACATGTATACTTCCATGATCTGCTTGATATTGATAATTCTAACGTTCAAACTGAGGTTCCTCCAATGCGGGTGCCAGTCCCTCCAATGTCGGGAGTGCCAATGCACTTGAGCGCTATACCGACTGGTGTTAATATACAAGCAATTCCAGGAGTTAACATGCACATGGTCCCTACAGGTATTAATATGTCGATGGGTGGAATACAGCCAGTTCAGCCAATTATGGTATCAACACAGGTGATGCCAATGATAGGACATCCACCGAATGCACCGCAAGCGCAACTGATAAGTCATCCGCCGCATCCTCCTAATGGATCTCAGCAAGCACCGATGATGCCTCGAAGAAATCATATGCATAATAATTATGGAATTGAATGATTAAATTTTTGACGAGATTGATTAGGTAGAGCTAGGTGGATGGCAAAATGAATAAGTGGATGATAAACCAAAAGCAAATGACATTATTTTTATACTTAGTTTGTATATTTAACAAATTTATTAACTTGCAATATACTTATATACTTGATATAACACGTGTTCTTTAATGTATGCTGAATTTTATTATTATTTTTCATGATGTTAACCTGACTGGTTTAATGTCATTCTGATTTTGTACTATCTTTATTCGTTTGAGGATGAATAGGAATAAATTATAAAGGATTCCTATTTGACTATCGAGACCATTGCTTATCATCTTTCTTTTTCAAAGCGCTATTTCTTTGCTTCACAAAGTGCGCCTTACCATTATTATTGAATCCCTTCTTGTCTCCACCTCGCCTTTCAACTCTGGATTCTTTTCCACTAGAGCCAATTGTTATGTTAACTTTTGGTGGTACTTGAAAACCAAATGATTTTCCAACTTTTTGAAGGTCCAGTTCGTTTATGTTAAAAATAGATTTCAATGAATAAGAAGCATAAGCATTTAAATAGGATCGAAATCCATCACGTGCAGACTGATGCAGATAATAGTTCTTTTCAACAAGTTTTTCGAGCTGGAAAAACGATTCAAAAAAGAATTTTTAGGAGCTGCAGGAGATTTACAAAAACAATACGATCTATGCTGAAAATCAAATAAATGAATTTACCTGGGATTGTACATTTGCAATTTTATTTGCCGGAAACTGATACTCATTCAGTGGCACTTTGGCGTGTTTCAGATAACGTAAAAATCCGAGTTCACTTGGAAGCAAAAATAGCAAACTTTTTCCTTGGCCACCTCCACGAGCAGTCCTTCCCACACGATGGATGTAATCACGCGGATCGTCTGGTGGATCGTATTGAATAATCCAGTCAACCGAGGGTATATCTAGTCCTCTAGCAGCCACATTAGTGCAGAGAAGGATACCGTGTTCAGCATTGGCGAATTCAAAAAATGTATTTGTTCTTTTCGTTTGCTTTTGTTGACCCTGTTCATTATTATTAATATGAATAAAATCATTATATCGAAATAATATTTATAGTGATGCCGAAAAGATCAATGAGACTTACATATAAATCTAGAACTGGTACGTCAATATAATTCAGCAACTCCGCATGATATTTAACAGATTTGCAACTAGAAAAGAACACAATCACCTTCTTTTTTAAGTTTCTCTTTAGGAATGTAAAAAGTAATAAAAATCTTTTGTCACTATCACAGACAACATAGCCCTGAGTGAGCCCATCAACGGTCGCTGTTTTTTCATTTTCATCCACGTTGATATATATTGGACCTTTTCTTAATGATATCCGTGCTAAATCATCGACTTTTGTAGTTTGGGTGGCAGAGAAGAGCATTGATTGTCTATTTTCTGAAAATGAATCAGTAATGTAAATAAAGTATCACATCAAAAATAAAATCGTTCTCTTATTAAGACTTCATATAATACCTTTGGGAAGGATTTTGATGATTTGCTTCATCTCTTCTTCAAAACCAACTTCTAATATACGATCAGCTTCATCTATTATAAGAGCTTTAAGGTTCTTGTATATAAACCCCTTGGTATTCTATTACGTTACAAATACACATTAATAATAGTTGAATAAATTAATCAAATCAATACATGAGCAAAATTACCTGAAGATGGTCTAGTAATCTCCCTGGTGTGGCGATCAACAGATTGACGCCCTTGTTTAATTTTTGAGCCTCGGCTTGTCTAGTGGCACCTCCTATCACTATGCCAAATGTTTGACTGTGAAATTTAATTAATTCCTTTGTCACTCCAAGAATCTGTAATGCCAGTTCCCTTGTCGGAGAAATAATAATGACTCCAGTTCCTTTATATAGAAATTGTAATTATAAGTATAGAAAATGTAATTATAAGAGTATAGAACTTTGAATTATCTAATTACCATTCCTGTGCTTGAAATTAAGTTTGTGAAGAAGTTCAATTGCCGGTATTAAAAATGCCAGAGTTTTACCTAATATTGTCAACATAGGTATAAAATTACTAACGATGGCATGACAGTACAAGCAAAAGATCATACGTTACCCGATCCAGTTTTAGCAGCGCCTAGAACGTCACGACCAGCTAGTAAGGGTGGTATCGTCCTTGCTTGAACTTCTGTCATTTTTTCGAATCCCATCTCCTTAATAGCTTTTCTGGTAGGTTCCGAAATCTCCAATGATTCGAAATTGTAATTGATATCCGTGGCCGTATCTGTCGATAAAACCATAAATTGAATTGCTTTGACAAAATCTTAATTCGATAAATTAACGCGAAGTTGATCCACACCATAAGTTTCAATCTGTGGTACTTTGTTAGAGTAGTCGCCCACTATAGAATCGTCGAGTTTTTGTTTTTTACTCTTATTTTCTGTTTCTTCCTCAGGATCAACTGTTTTATTATCGTGGTCAAAAGTGTGTTCGACTTCTTCTATCTTCGAATTCTCCGAATTTTCTTGAGATAAAGAAGTCACATTTTTTTCTGGAACTTCCGAACTATCTAACTCATCAACCTCCATTTGTTGTGTGCTATTCGGATCGAGTTGTTGTTGTCCTTGCGTCTTCTTTTTATTGGATCTCTTTCTTTTTTTTCCATTTTTCGCCTTTTCTCCAACTTCCATTTGAAAAACTCGAATATCGTTATTTTTATCGACTTAATGATTTTTTTTTAGCGAAGTCACTAATGATCAAAATTTTTTTATCTGGAAATTAGTGTAAATCTCTCACATGTTGATTACACAACAGATAATAATAGTAAATCAATATAAAAAATATCAAAACTATAATTTTCCGTTTATATATTTTACAAATGATTATCATTTATTTCATTTATTTGATATTATCTCAAAATTGTTTAGTGCACATAAATAATTACAATGTATAGAATTTTGCCACCAAATAATAAATACTTTAAATACAAATTATTTTAATTCTCTCCAACTTCCAACATCACAGAAATTACAGCTTTATCAAATTCAACGGGATTATCAAGATATAAGTGATGACCGGCATCTGGAATCCGAATAACTTTTGTGGGAACACGCATCTTTGAACTAGCTTTCTCAGCGGCGCGATAATCCATCCAATCCTCTTCTCCATCTACAATAAAAAATAAATCGTTAATTAGAATAACTTCCAATTCCTTCCGAAAACACGACAAAGTATGAGATAATATTTACATAGAAAAACAGTTGGCATTTTCAAACCTTCTAATCGATTCATCAGTGGCTTTCGCGCGTAGGCACCTGGTGCCAGAATTTTAGACAAGGCATATTCACCGCTACCAGGCGCGGCTGAAATGTGATAGAGATAATCATGCAAATCAATTTGATCTTGTACATCTAGATGAGCAAATCGGCGAGTTGTATATTGAGAGACTAATGATGGGCCAAATGGCCCTGCCCATCTCATAATTAATTGTGGTGTAATGTTAGCTTCCCATAATTTTATCACCCATCCAGGTATAGTACGACCACCGCTACTTTTCATATTTTTGTTGTTTTCGTAGGGATTTGGTGGAATTCCAGCGGGAGACACCAGAATTAACCGATCCACGTGTTGAGGATACTTTAATGCGTATACCGCTGCAAAATAACCTCCAAGCGAGTGACCGAGCAGCGTCATCTTCTCAATTTTCTGCACTTTCCTCCATTTCTCGAGTGAATCCTAATCATTCCAAGAAAAAAAAAAAACGGTGACACACAGAATCATGACCTTTTAAAACACAGAAGTTATTTATCAACTGATGACACACCACAAAAAAATTTTCTGCCTCTTCAACTGATTCATCAACGTTACGCCCTTTCACAGTAAATTTTACTCTTGATGATCTTCCCATGCCTAACCAGTCTAAACTATATATCCTCCATCCAGGGACCTGACTGAGGCTATGATAATTTCGATAAAAAAAACCAAGTCCCGCTCCAAAACCGTGACACATTACTAAATTTTTCTTCGTCGATGGAACTTCCTCAATGGCAGTTGTACCTGATTGAATGGAAATTTCTGTCTGCGGCTCCGAACTGTATCCAAGTCTATTATCGGTAATAGACTCAGAACCGGCAATTGAATGATCGTTAACGACAAAATCATTGCCAACTTGATCGATAACCAAGGTATTAATTTTTCTCAGGTCATCTCCGTCCAGATCAACCAATCCAACGCGGGCGATTGTTTTTGATTCATCAGGTGTAGCGACCGTCTTGCCTCCGATAGAAAAGAATTGAAGTCGACTCAAAAGACGAGCTTCTGCTGCTTCCGAGGTTTTTTCAGACCGCGAATACCAATGTCTTAGAGAAGCAAACCGACTTTTTGGAGATCTAATAATGAATAAATCGGAATTAATTGAGAACCGAATAAAAGAAATAAAAAAAGTCAAAGCTTTACTAACGGTGCGGGTGGTATCAGAACTTGTGTAATTCCCTTGTCACTTATCAAAGAAGTCGAATTAGTGGTCGCCGCCGTCATCGTGCTTAGTAAAAAAATGGAATGCGGTCTATAAAGATTAATTTTGAACTTTTTCTAAATTGGAAAAAAGAAAATCGGAAATATACTTGATTTATAACATCGTCCTTTTATAAATAAAAAATAATAAAATAATTACGTACCTGTTTATTGATTATTAATCATTAACGGCCCGAACAAATCCGGTGTACATCTTTTTGCACGCAGATTCACCAATAATGGTCGATTTCACGTGATCTAATTTACACATAAATCTGACTTTAAATGATACGAAACGTCTAGTGAAACATTTCTTTTATAAGTAGTTCTGCTGGAATTAGTTTCAAACTTCAATCGTCGGTCCAAACTGCCAGTTTAACCGATCTACAATGCAAATTTATATGTCACGTATACTACTAATAGCTTTGAATACGTATTGTTTATAATAGATAACCATGTGGCATTGGGAATCGGTTAAACTGCCTAGTTAAAATAATAATAATATAAAATAAAAGGATACCATACTTTTTTAATATTATCACGAATTGGCATCTTAACAATCCATTATTCTATTTTAGAAATATTTTGGGAAAACCGATACTTTAAAAATCTTTTTAAAAATTTCTTATTGTTTATTATTATATAAAATGAGTATTAGATATACAGTATTTTATGAACGCAAATCATTCATGAACGCTAAATGATATTTATTTAATTATTTTTAACGTGGTGATATATCGTATAAACATTATATAAAATATAATTATAAAGATTAATTCAAGTTGTTTCGATTAACTTGTATATTAGATTGCATAAAAATCGAATTTTTGGTTTTTGAATGATCCTATAATTGAAAAAAGTTACATAGCAAAATGAATTTTAAACCAATATACAGTATTTTAAAATAATCTTTTAGACTAAGAAATAAAATTATTTGTTAAAAATTATTAAGTCAAATAAGTTTAATAGGAATTTTAAGCAATGATATCATGATCACAGATAATAAAAAAAGAAATACTATATTATACTAGTAATATTCCTGAGAATTAATAATTAAAATAACTTGAATTAATTTTTATAATTTATTTTTTCATAATAAATATAATTAAGACAAAATTACAGTATATTTGATATAGATTAAATGGTTTAAATTAATAATAAGACTTTTATATTCTAAAAATAACTATCTAATATGTAAACCTTTCTACTTGAAAATCAATTTGTAATTAATAAGTAAATAACATGAATTAACTTAAATAAACCTTTTATATAAAATCAAAACCTATATCACACCTTAGCCTATGAAATGAAATATACATATATATATATTATTTTTAAATAAGTAATAAATCAAATTTAAACTGCTTTTATAACATTAAATAAATTTAATAAATTCTAAATCTACCCTTTATTTATTAGAATTTAATTTAAAAACATGTTGAGTAAAAGTTTGTGCTCTTTAGAAATAATTTTATGGTCAAATATTGGTTATGATATTTTCTGATTGTCCTAAATTGAACATATTAAAATTTTTTTGTTTTTACAGTGTGATTAAAATAATAGGTTTACACATATTCATAATATCATAACCCAAACAAAGATCAAGCATTTCATCATTCAGGGATACCGACCTATTTAAAAAAGCCGATTACGAGATGTCCATAGCCTCTCCCTCTGTGACGATAACCAAATCCCTTATAGACTCTTTAAGGAAAGCTAAACAAAAAATACAAATATAAAAACCACGATCTTCCGTTTGTTTCATTAGGAACGTTTGTGGATGTTAATTTTGTGAACATACCTGTGGTTCCTCGTTTATACTTATAGCTTTGTTCCTTCTGCGCACGCTCATTAGGTTTAGCATAATTCCTCAGGATTTCAGTTTTTTCTTTAGTAAGTACTACGACATCCACATTAGAACCAGAACCCAAATCGTTGAAAATACCGGCCTCAATGGCGTCTTTAACAAGATCGATAGCATCTTGACGCTGCAAATGACAGATATTTAGGAAACCTGAATTTTATACGTCGTGAAATATTATTAAACAAAGAGACAAACCTCCATGTCTTTTGTCCATCTGCTCTCAAATATAGAGATTGCCGCTAACGAACCACTGCCCATGGTCACGTACGGCAACTTATCAGTGCTTCCATAAGCATGTACGGTGAACAAATTGGGCCCGGTTACATCATAACCACCAACTATTAAATGAGCACCGATGTGACCTTGGTATCTGCGTTTTAGCACATTGACATATAAATAAGTAATATCAAGTATTATAATGCCTAAAGTTCAAAGGTAACCACAAACCTAAAAAGCATTTGCTTTAACATTGTCATAGCGGTTACAACACGAGCTTGCCTTCCTGTGGTTAATCGATGCAATTCTAACTGTGAACTAATTAATGCAGTTGTGTATTCAGTGTCGGCGGCAGTGCCGGCACCACAACAATACATGTTCGGGGCAAGATAGTGAATCTTCTCACAATTCTTATCAGCCACGATTGGTCCTTCTGTTGCGCGCGTATCGGCACCTAAAACAATGCCATCCTAGGCACAAAAGGGAATAAGAATTATCACAATGAAGTATACGATCCGGAAGTGTGATAAGATTTGTAGATTCTCTTTTGTTTAAAAAAATAAATAAATAAATAAACCAAACCTTGTAAACTAATCCGACAATTGTTGTTCCAGTTTTTATGGCTTTGGGTAATGCTAGGCCTTTTTGTTCAAGAGCAACGTTCCTAAGTGATTCATATACTTGTTTAATTTTCTTATTTATTACGAGTCACGAATTACACGAGTACCTTTGATAATTATCAAAACTAAAACCGCCTTTTGGTGGAATCACATTAGTTGCCATCCTGGTATAATGCGCGTTGAAGGAGGTCAATAAAAAAACGAAGATTCAAACTATCAGCATACGTATGCGAGGGCACGTGTATTATCATTTATTGGTCACATGATTTCGATAAGTCATTTATTACATAATACAACATTATTAATGGATATTTTAAAATATACTAGTAGATAGTGACTCATATGTTGATATCATGAGAGCACAACTTATCGCAATCTTGGTTGTTCGCACCGAACCACCTTACATAGTAATAATAGGTCATTTATCGTTAAATCACAAAAAAGTTAGAAACACAAAGCCATCAATCTCAAAAGTTCTGACAAAAGGCTGCATACCTTTAAATAGCCCCCTATAACCTTCCTTCTGGATTATATCTTTCATCATAGTGATCATATTTGTAGTTTTCACTGATTTCGAAAAAAAGAAAAATTAGTTCAGCGTCTAATTTTCGATATCGCTTAGCGATCACATACTTTGATTCCCATTGACCTGTCGGACGGTTTTTGCGACATCAAAAGGTTGAGTTATGATAGCGCAAATCTTTGAAAAAAAACGTGATCAATTTATATTATTTTTAAAAAAGAAAGTTAAATTCGGTAATTCTGATTATACCGTTCCAGACGTGGCACCAGATAAGAAGGCAACTTCTGATTCATTGAATCTTCTTTCAAGATTATGGTTCTTTAAGTAGTTGTTTAAATTTCTTTTTATCATTTCATAGCCGGTCCAGTAAAGAGCTAATTGTGATTTAAATGGTTAAACATAAACTGAAGAACTTCAATAGGAATTCCTGAGATGTCTTACCGGAGAAAGGCACATCACGCAAAAGAGAAGGTTCTAAACCGCGCCATAATGATGACACTCCATTTGTCTTCACCAAGTTTTGCACACCACCTATGACATTTCTTATACCATGAATGCCCTCAGGTCCTTGCATCCTTGTTCGGAATAATTCCAATGGAGACACCAAAGTCACGGAGATTGCTGTAATATCATTTTTGTTCAAAAGACATCTCAAACTTCCTTGCATATTATAGTATATTATCATAGTGTATTATTTTTTTTTTACATACTTCTAGCTACAAATCCGGCTATCATTGGAGAATAGTTTTCCGAATATTTCCATTTCCATAGCGTATCTCTCAAATAATCATATCCTACATAATATATCACTGTTGTAGGAACGGACATTACACTACATCGGCAACCAAAAAATCAGCACGTAATAAAATAAACCGGTTCAGGATAAAAATTAAGATAGACTAACAGTGTTGGCGAAAGTCCCTTCCATAATGATGTGATCCCTTCGTTACGAACAATTTTTACAGCTACATCCTGTTAGATATGAAGTGATCAATGACCGTTTCACATTACAGACAAAACGAAAAATAATTCTTACCCATGTTCCATTAAATCGACTTTTTGTTGCCGCGTTTGCAGTGACACAACCTAATGTAGGTGTCTGATTTGATACGTGCGGATATAGACAAACATATTGTTGCGGCATATTTCGTGCCACAAAAAGAACTTCTCGACATGTAATAAGAGGTGAATGCAACTTTACGTTTGACATGGGCAGATCTTGAGCTTGAAGCCGAACCTTAACGACATCGAAGGGCGTTGCTGTACCAAAAAAGCGTTAACTGTTGCAGTTCTTTCGAAAGTTCGTTAATGAGTAGGTAACTTACTAAAGAGAGAAGTTATCAGAGATCCACTGAAAGCAGAAAACATTTTTTGCATTGGAGTTGCGGACCGCTGCGGCAACGAACCTTCCGCTACATTAAGGGTTTTTTGATTTTTACTCATATCTTCGTTCGAATGCAATGTATGAATATCTTCTTCTTTGAAAGTGAGGCCTGGGAACCAAATCCTCCAATGCAAGGTATTTAATTTTCTAACTCACTTGAGATTGAAAAAAAGATTATTAATATTCGCGTCCAAAATACTATCCAAAAATAGATATTATCGACACAAACCATGCGCTTTCAATTTTATGGTATTTAATTTATAAGTCTATTTTATGAAAAGAAATACTAATTATGTCCTGTGACGGACAGATTCGAGCACAGTTTATAAATATTGACGTACCTAATCTTAAAAAAATTATATTTATTTTTATATTTAAATAAAGTATTTTTTCTATATTATATTAATTTTTAAGATAAAATGTATTCGATACATTAATTTTTATTAATTAATTTATTCAATACAAGTACTGTTTTTTTTTTTTTAATGTTGATAAACATCAGTTCTTTATTTTATGTATATACTAATATATAATTATGAGAAAGAACCTACATTTCTCACAATACATGAGTTAAATGCTAGCTTATCAATGATCTATCTATCTAAACTATATTAAAAAAGAAAGTTTAAAATTAATATATTGTTTAGATAGTTGCATGACAGGTCATGCAATTTGTAAGAAAATAAAAAAAGAATAAAAGAAAAAAATCCAGTACATATTAATATTAAACAAAACTTTTCACATTATAATTTTGATTTATCAAAACTATAATCTTTAGTTGGCACAAATTATCAAATCTAGGAACTTCAATAGTCAAGTAAAACTAGGGTTCTGAAAAGTATCAAATTGATACCAAACTGGTATTGAAATGATACCAATCTATAGTAAATTTAATATATGGATTATGACCTATTTATATGAATTTATAATAAATTTAAATATCAAACTGATATCAAAGTAATATTAAAATGATATTGTTAAGAGCCCTAAATAGAATGTAACTTCAAAATCTTCTAATAGATACTTCAAAAAAATTGATTGGCTTAAGTTATTAAATCCAAGAACAAAATTGTTAAGCAAAACATAATTTCTATATATTCATTAAGCTATTAACAATTCTATAATAAACTTATACATTAGTATCCATATTATATATATTGCTGAAATTTGTAAATTCTTAATACAATTGATGTAATTATTTGATATAATTAATTAAGTCACTATTAAAACATATAAATAATTAAAAATTTTGGAAATTAAATTAATAACAAAAAATTTATATTACATATATAATCCATATCATCACTTTTTTTAAAGTTATCTAATTAATATTAATATATGATAAAATATTATTATTAGTTATTATTATTGTTAATATTATTGTAATTAATATTATTGTAACTATAAATAATATAATTTTGATAAATATGATTGGTTGAAATATAATATTGATCTTTTGATGAAAATAATTTGATTTTGATTTTTTGTTGTAAAAAAAAAAACCAAAGTATTTTTATATATATAAGTGAAAAAAATGTCAAATCAAAGATTTTTCTTTATACAACCTTTATCTACAAAATATCTAATCTTAAGAAATTCAATCAAAAATTTTATCTTTATATAACTTGAGTCTTTATAATCAAACTCTTGAAATTGACTTATATGTAACAAGTCTTTAATATATAAAAAGCTTATTGTATTAATTTTGGCAGAAATAATTTTTTGTCTTGAAGAAAAAGAATTGGTCTTTTATTTAATATACTTAAACTTTGATTTTTCTATCTATAATACCTAGAACTATTTAATTTAAACTTCTTAGGCTATAACAAAAAGAAGACAGTTAGACATTTTCTTTAAAAAAATTTTTTTATTTTCAATAATAATAAAGAAAGGAAAAAAGTTTCTTTAAAGAAAAAAATAATTTAACAAGAACTTCAATTTGTTTTGTTAAAATTTCCTAAAAAAAAAAAGTTTTTCAAATATTTAAAGGAAATAGAAAAGAGTTTTTTTTTATTAATACAAGCATTATTATAATTACTAAATTAATATATACTATATTATTTTTTACTAAAAAGAGTTTAATATAAGATTTGAAAATAGATCTCTTATTTTAAACTTTTATTAATTGTTTAAGAATATCGAAAAAAATTATTAAATTTAATTAAATCTTAAATAATATTTAATTAATGGAAATAAAAAATAAATTTAATATTTTTTTTTTTTTTTTTTTTTACGACTGGCATACACCTTGCTTTATTAGGTTTATAGATTAGCATGTACAAATCTGTTTTATACAAATTTTCCCACTATATCTACCTGATAAAGCTACCTAAGCTAAGATATTCCTAACTACCAGTTGGCTTATTGCCCTCTATTCTTCCTATATTATCAGCACCAGGACCCTGATAGCATAGGTAGAGTGCTAATGTGCCAGGATGTGCGCCTTCCAGTCTCACCCACTATCCGATGAATAGAAACTCAAAGAACCGTATCCTAGAACGGTCAGCCGTGAACTAGCCATATCCAACAAGGAGTCTTTGTGGCTCTAGCTAGGTCTCTTGAAAAATCAGGGTTTTTTTCTTTTATAGTCTTGTGGACTATAGGGGTAAGGAAGCGTGCTCCATGCATGAGTATCGGAAAAGTCACCAAACTTGACAACGATTGTCATAACACTGCTGAACGATCGTTACATCACTACACCTTTTTTGGTATCACAATCCTAACGCCCGTTGAATCAACGTGTGAATTGACTTCTTATAGGAAACAGCGCATATTAGGTTATGGTGCCAGATATCATCTTGAGACGGTCCAGTTACCTTCACCTGGAACTGAACTTGGTATCTTGTGATAGCAATCAGAAGATGCCGATCCATTTCTTCCGGTTTGAGGTTTCCACGTTAGCCCTTTGGAGAATTTGAACCATTATCTTGTGATCTGACCTGCGGAGCACTAACCACTATGCTATAGATCCACAGGTCCATTCTTAACTTGTAATAGTTTTTTATGATTTAATAAATAAATAACGCCAACCTAATTGTAGAATTAAAAAAAAAAAAAACAATCAGCTATTGATAATGAAGTATGTTTATATCAAATTTTCAAATTCAACAACTCAAATAAGAATTTGCAATACTCTATTATTTATACAGTCCAAATTATTGAATGGAAGCATTTGCTGGCCAGAATTAATTTTTCTTATGCAATTATTTGATAGCAATTATTTCAGATATATTAAAATTCGGATTTTGAATCTAATCTTTGGCATTGGATAAATCAATTAAATACTAATAAATTGTTATATGATATTTATAATGATAATATTTGAAAAACTTTTAAGAATGGAAATTCTAAATTATTTTTAAATAAAGAAACAACTAATTTGCATTTAGAATTGATATTGAATATTGACTAGTTTTAACTATATAATAACAAATTATATAGTACTGGTATTATATTTGCAGTTATTACTAATTTGCTATATAATATATGCTTTAAGCATGAAAATATACTGATTATTAACATATTACAAGTCCCAGTAAATCAAACTTACACAAAATAAACCACTATTTTGTATCAATTATTAATAAATTAATACAATTATAACAAGAAATAATATTAAAATTGACTGCCAAAAATAAGAAAGAAAAAATAATTCAGGTGGCTTTAATTTTAATTTCATGTGATATTTCTGCAGTGTGCAAAGTATATGGATACATTTTGGCACTAGTATTTTGTATTGTTATAAAAAAAAGGCTATGTGAATAATAAATATAACTTTGATAATATAAAAAATATAAATAAATAATTTATATCAAGGAATTTGGCAACACATATATGAAATAATACCAAATAAAGGAATTGCAATACAAATATAACATAAAAGAGTTTTGTTAATAAGAATTTAACTAAATAGTCTAAGCTTTTTCACTTATCTTATTTTGATCCAATTCGATATTTAGTCATTAATCTAATATACTGTCTTTTTTTAGGTATTGGTAAATGACTTGTTAAATAAATATGAATTGAAGAAAAAATATTAATGAATAATGTATTAAATGAAATACAAGTAACAATGAAAAATTTTTAAGTACTATTTGACATTGGCCAAATCCCAAAAAAAATAAACTATAAAAAAAACTTTTCAAACTTTATTGTCAACCAATAAAGAAATTTTTTTATAATATATATAACTATTGTTTTATGAAAATATTTTTTAAAAATTAATTACTGAAT